ATTAAATATCGAATCACTACCTGAAGCAAATGCATTCTATGCAGCCTATACAGGAACAGCGGGAAGGACAACGAGTTCCGAAGAATCGCTGCATCAAAAATCGATTCAGAAAGGAGCATATTAGGGAGACGAATAGAGGACATCAGCACCCTGTACCGACGCGTTGCTGCTATAGCCACTACTAGCCGCGCGTGGACTAAGGACGCTGCGAAGGTCATCCGGTCACCTGGCAGATTCGAACCCCGCGAAATCCGAGTTGTAAGACAGATGCCTTGTCCTTTCGGTCATCGTCCGTCTCAGGAGACAAAAGGTAGAAATGAATGTCCGAGTTCCCGAGGAGAAACGAAGGACATCGTAGATGAGGCGCCAAAAGGCACGTTCATTTATCGCGTTTTTCGGCTGCATGGATTACGGCCTTGCTGATTCACTTGACCGTTAATAAGAGCTGACATTTCGGTGGTGTTTCCTTCATCGCTATCCAATATACCGATAATGGCTCTCGTTCAACAACCTAGATCATAGACGCGTGGCTAGAAAGGCATGTGGACGGTCGGTAGACGCAAGAAGTGAGCAACCGAGCCAGATACTGCAAGGTACAGTAATCTGTTGAGTTGGATTCCCCTAGAGAAACAGACGCCGTACGTGTTCCAGGATTGTCGAAAGTAAAACATCGGCGCCATCACCAACTTCGACCGGCGACGTAGGTTGGGCTAAATGATATTATGAATAGGGTGAGCGACTAGCCTGAATAACCTTTGCTGCATATTCGAAATGATGGACTGCTTGCGCTACATTTACTTTTGCTCGCGATAAGCTGGGAAACATCTAGCGGTACCACAGACATCAACCAGCAGCGTTGGCAGAAAAGTGGTGGACCAGTAGAAAGGAAAGCAGCGTAACTTGTCAAAAAGCAAGGCATTGTTCCCGAAGTGCATCAGCCAAAAGAAGTTCGTACACGAACAAAAGGCATGTGGAGGAGAAACGCTGATGGAAAGCAGCCAGCACAAACTTCACTGATTACACTGGTAGCGGTTCTCGCCTTTTCCCCCAGGAAACAAGCAGAACATAGCAAAAACCTTCAGCGCTAACCACAAGACACTAGCCTACTGAAGGTGAGGCAAGGATTGCCTCCACTTAGGATGGGCCAACAAGAACGGCTGTGGAAGTAGTAAACACGCTGCGAATGCAATATACCACCACGTTTCAGAGGGTCTTGCCACCAAGCCATCTTCCAACCTTTGTCGTCTCCTCGCCAGGACTAACCCACATCACTTTTACCGCGGAGGCTGTATTGCAAAAGCTGACGTCTCTATGCAAACACAGCTCGCCGGGTGTCGACACCATTCGTCCAGAGACACTAGAAGCAGCAGCAAGCCAACTGGCAGGATCTTTAGCTCAGTTTTTTCAGCGCTGCTTAGACCAGAACCAAGTTCCCGCTATGTGGAAGCTTGGAATAACCCCGATTCACAAAGGCAGAAGCAGAACTGATCCCTCCAACTACTGCCCAGTATCCCTTCTTCCAATACTCTCCAACGTCATGGAATCTATAGTTGCCGATGCACTGGAGTACTATCTGGAAAAGTGAAACATCAGTATGCCTGAGTAGCACGGTTTCCGTCGACAGCGGTCATGTACAACGAATTTACTAATAGCACGCAAAGTTGAACCGAGGCAGCTGACGCCGGACAGGGCGTTCACGTGATCTCCCTGGATTTTCTCAAGGCCTTCGATCGTCTAGACCATGGGATACTTCTCTCTCAGCACCAACATTACAGGCTCGTGGACCCACTTTTAAGCTGGATTGCCAGCTTTCTAGTTCAACGGCATTTACTGTTCAGAGTTCGGAGCTCTTAATCGGACCCATACAAGTCGAGTCTGGTGTGCCGCAAGGCTCAGTTCTAGGTCCAAGTTTGCTTTTGGTGTATATTACTGACCTTGCACAGAGAATCGCTTCAAACTAACTCATGTTTGCCGACGATATTAACATCTGGCGCAGGATCCAGGCGAACGCCTAGAAGCGTCTGCTTTAGAGTGACCTAGATACGGTGTATCAATGGTCAACCCAAAACATACTGCTTTTCAACGTCAGTAAATGCAAGATGCTATCCATCCGACATAAGGGCAACTACTCATCCGGGATAGGAACGAATCTACTACAACGATCAACTCTCGAACGTGACTTGGGTGTCCTGGTTCAAGATGACTTGCGTTGCTCCAGGCAATCCGAGAAGGCCTCGAAGACTGGAAACCAACACGTCGGGCTGTTGCGACGAGCGTTTGGACAAATAAACAGCTCCATATTTCGACAAATGCTCGGTGCATATGTTGGCCCCCATGTCGAATACGCAATTCAAGCCTGCCATCCATGGCTGAAGCAGAACCTGAATGCACTGGAGCAGTCACAACGTCGGACATCTAAGAAAGTAATTGCAATGCGAGATCTTTCATACGAACAGAAGCTGAAACGATTGCGGGTATTCGGTGGACGCTATCGAAGATTACGAGGCGACCTGATTATGACATACTTGAATCTGCAAGACCCACATCATATGTGCCGTTCTTAACTGCAACTCAGTAGCAATACAAACCTGGGGGCCACTTAGTGAAACTCGCAGGACAGTATAGCCGCCTGGAGTGCCGCAGAAATTTCTCTTCCATTCGTGTCTGTCACCCGTGGAATGCTTTCCCAGAATCGGTCGTCACTGCAGCGACACTAACAGTAGTTAAAAGACGGTTGGATGACGCACTCATCCACTTACACTTTGTCTCCATCCTACACCTGGAGTTTACCATGGAATTATTTGATGTTAACTGTGGGTGCTGTGAATCTAAGCAGATTGCACAACTACGGCGGAGCAAACGGTAAGTCCTTATTTCATATTTAAAGTATTAACTGTTTTACTATCATTATTACCATTGTTGTTATGTCGATATCCCACCAACTATCCAACGGGAGCTGTAAAATAAGTATTCTTAACCCACATTAATTCAGTGTTCAGATTCAACAGAAATCAGTGCTTACTTAAGCCTTGAATACTTTATAATGCTATTTATCCACATTAAATTGCTCCGTAACCAAAGGCGTTTTAGGTAGGAAGATAGCATGGATAGTGGTCTTAGACGGGTTGATGAGGCATCGAAGAATCGAGCTGACGCAAAGGAGGGAATCTCCTAGCACTCGATAAGTTGGATTTGGGGCATCGCTAAAGTCATCATTGGAGTTAAACGCACAACAATGCGATGCGATTCATATGTATGTCGCCGATTCCGTTGATGAATCAAGTGTCAGCGTCTAACTAGGGACGGCACAATAGACCATTTGTTGCCACTTTGGAACGCATACACCACATGCAAGTCATCTGAACAGAATGTGACAAATAGAGTGCGTAATACTCCCTAACATTTTGATCGAAAAGATCACAAATGAATGCAACCTCTGTTGGAAAGGTCCTACCGAGTGGTCGGCTGAAAAACGAAGGATACACGGACGATGTGCTTATCCACGTGTTGGGCTCAATAAGCGTGAAACGGATTTGAATGGAATAACACAGTGCTGTGTGATTCGAAATTTTATCAGTTCGATGCGTCACCGACTCGCACCACCAAAGGAGAATAGCTCTAAGTGGTGATCGGTGGTTCATTTACTTAAACAGTCATAGAGCCTTTGAGGACAAAACCAACGTGAGTCAAGATGCTGAGAAGTGGCACATGTTCGCACCTTTAGTTTAATTTATTACGAAGACAGCGAAAAATCGGCCAAAATGTTACCAGCGCTTCGTTCGCAACAAAGACACAACGCTTCGGCGTTATGGATTTGTTAGCTTGACACAAGATCATATGCGGAATTGTCTGTGTGCAACCGTGATACAGAATGAGTATTTAGTCCATTAGATTATACGCGCCAACGAGCCCTCTGAGATTCCGTTAGCTTATTTTTGGAGAGTGATATGTAAAGCTGGGTACATCAAATGCAACAGGTGTTTGTCAAACGCTTACTTTAACGTGTGTTGCTCACCAACATCCAGTCTCACTGGATGAGGCCTGATAGTGAGCACCTGACCATAGGGTGAAATGTGTGAGGTGACCGAAGGGAGCACTCAAGCAAGCGCATGTGGCCCTGATGGTAACACACTCCCGGGCGGGGCTCTCTATATGTCACGCTACAGCCGAGGATGTAATGGAGCCTTCGCTTTTTACCCAATGTCTGCGCCTGCAAAGTCACCTGCTCAACGACAGTATTCCTCTTCGCTCATTTTTTCTCACTGTTATTTTGGCGACATGAAATATGGCGACTAGATTCATCGTACTTTGGAGATTGGATAGCGTGTGATCAATGTTAGTTAGAAGAGAAACTATGTGATTGTCGCAGCCTGGTGGGTACAGATACATAAGAAAGATGACATAGTCTCACCTACAGTTTACGCATGAGCCTGCAAAAGAAGCCGATGTTATCAAAAGCGTAGAGAAATGCAGTTAGCTGGACGTGTGAGCTCAAACCTTGCTCCAGAAGCTGAAACCTTTGTGAGACTTCGAAAAGTGAAGGGGGAAACAGCAGCACAGCCAATAAATTTTGGTGCACAAAATAAAACAACAAAGGCGTGAACGTGAATATAAAAAACGACGAATGTGTGCGAGACTCGGAAATGTATGCCTATGTCAACTGTGAATTTCCGTGCAAGAAAGTGCAGGAAAAAGGTAATTGACAAACGCTGATTCAATGCATAAGAGAACGGGAATGCAGATGCGGATCTCAGGGCCACCATTGGGCAGGTACCAGAAATTGCGAAAATAGGAATAAAAAGTTGATTGGGTTGCTTCTGCCAGAAATACAAAAAGTGCATAATCGGAACATACAAATGGTAGGATGCAAACACAAAAATATGCCAAATACAAAAGAGAAAATAGTTGGGTGGGTAGGGGCTGTCATAAAAAGTGTGAAAGAAAACAAAATTGCATGGGACATGGAGACGAAATGGTTAGCAGAAGAACATACAGAACACCTAAGAAATAGACAACCCGCCTATCACCGATTCAGAACGCTTCCGACCGAACGCTGGAGTGGTTTGTGCGCAACCTGTTTCATGGGAACCGAAAGGGTCAGCGACGAGACAACGAAGTGGAACCCGTCGCGGGGTTACGGGTTTGCCGGAAGCCCGTCCACGGAACATACAGACATCAGTATTTGAACGCCTTAATGATCTAACGATTGCAAGTTGGTTGTTCGATCCAAAAGTCTGGGTGGGTAACTGTTCAGTACACTTTCGTAGCAGATTGTCTACTCCCAAAGAAGGATCGGTAGCGGACAAAGTGGCGGCGATCACACGTTGTCCGACCCGAACGACAGTTTCGGCCAAACTCAGGGGGCTATCGTTTAAACTGTCTGCATCCTCCATGGACGCTTCAGTAACTGGCGAGTCTGCTGTGGGAGATGGATCACAAGCGCGCTGGGAATGCAGAGAGCTGAGTCGGTGGGGCGCATCCACCTTTGTAACATTGACTGAAAGAAAGCAGGTATATGCATTGAGATGGTGTTGACAGCCTCAGATAAAACCAATGACAAAAAAAGCAACTAGTCCATCGCCGAGTGTGTGGAACTACATAGGGTGCCGCATCATGCTGAGACAGATTTATCCGCAACGTATAGTTTATCGAGTCGAAAAGGAGTAAAAACGTTGGAACTGTAAAAGCGGTAAGCCACAACGGTGATCGACAATGGGGCTATTTCTCTTCATGACTATGTCGACATGCAGGGTAAAACTTTACGGCAAGAGACAGAGCGAAAATTGTTAGGTAAGGGTAAGAAGTTTTCAGAGTGGGGGTAAGTCGTGATAAAGGAACGGAAGTGCGGAGGAGAGATTTACGTGTTTAACAAATACCTTACGAGCCTAAGGCACAACTAACAAGTGATCATGTGAGTCAGAACTGTGAAGATGGATATGAGCGTTAAAACACAGTGTTAGTCTCACCATAAATGGGTGGGAGATTCTCCTTCGCATCTGTCGTGGCGGATGGTGTGACTTCACCACCTAATACCACAGCTGATAGCAGATTGGTGCAAGTTTTGGAAGTAGAAGACGGTGTCGGTTGGACCACTGTACTTGAGGTCGGCCGACCGACAGACGGCTGATCGAAACTGGTCACCGTGTCTACAATCGGTGAGTGGAGTAGTTTGTGCTGTGGACGGATGCAGGCTATGCAGGCAGAACTAACTCGCTTGGTGAGGCGACGATATATGCGAAATTGCGTTCGGTAATCCCGGTGAGACATTTTGACGTAGTTGTCGGGTGCGCACAGATGCTATAAGAAGGCAAATAGCAGAAGGGATAAGACTTCATTCTCAGATAAAAGTGATGGAAGTCGTAGTTTGTGGCAGTTGGTTTGAATAGGTATGAGTAGTATTGGGATCGGGAAATAAAAATAAGTCATCCGACAACTCAACCTTGGGCAAGCAACCATAAGAGAAAGCACACTCAACAGTATTGATGCGTCGTATGTGATTGTATACTGAGTCCTGAAAATAATCAAGGAATACAAGAAACCTGTCTCCACAAAATGAGCTAGATTGCATCTTCGGAATTGCAAAAAGCATAACACGATCACAAGAGTGTAACAATGACTCACAGGATAGCTTTGATAAAAAGCGGAGTAGCCCCCTTTCATGATGTAGATTTCCGGGAAGTACAGAAACGGGTACCGATGGTAGTTTGATATTCGGTCGATATTCCTCAGAAAGGTTGCCCTATAAAAGATAGATCAAATGGTTTGAGAATAACGCCTAGAAAAAGTAAGCATTTATAGAAACAGTGCGTACGTGCGAACTCGCAAGGCAAGTACTCACAAGTCGGGGGCTCGTTGGGAGGAAAATTCGCAATGGAAGATGACAACGAAAGCTGGTTCATATGTGGTAGTGGAACCGCTGGAACTACTCCCGTTGCTAACTGTGCTCAAGCTGGGCTCCGATCGAGCTCCGAGTGCATCGTCCGAATGTACGGAACAATTCTGCTCCTCTGTTTTGGCAACCGCCAGTTCTAGTTGCGAAGCTTCAGAGGTAAAATGGTCAAAACTGACATAATCATCGGAGTCGTCCTCATCTGAAATGGGTTCACAGGGTGCGGAGAGCGGCTCTCTAGGTGCCTTAGAGAGACGTCGAGCCAAGCTCCCACCCAACAATTTCGGTGGACCGGATTTTCCTGGAGGGCGCTGAGCCGGCACACGGTTGAAGATTTCTTGCACAAGATCACTGTGAGTGAATATGTTGATAGCATCGCGAATGTGACCACCTTCATATTCATAGGGAAAGCGGCAGTCAACGATCACAAAGCTGATGTTGCGTTTTTCACCAGCATCAGTGACCAGCTCTGCCACAGTGTCTATAGAAACACAGTGCAGACCGGAATCCGTTCGCTGGACAACTGGTAGAGCGCGTGGACGACGACCATGGCAGCGGAAGTTAGCATTGTCCAATACACCCGCACATCGATGCAACTGTAACGTGAAAAAAAGAGGGAGCAAGAGAAGGGAAAATCAGAGGGTTACTCACTTTTAGTCATCCAGCGAGCACAGCACCTGACCAAGGCTGCCGCAACCAAAGAACACAGATAGCATGATGGGAGTAAGCACGGTATCCCAAGCACATTCTGGTGGGAAATCAGTGAATAAGTGAAAACGCAATAATTCAAAAGAATAAACAGTTGCCTGTTGTCTAGTCATGGGTTCAGAGGATCAGCGCGTGATGGCTGACTGGTGGGCACGGGAACAACAATAACCAACATGATGTGGGAGCATCAGGACATAACAATGGTAGCGCAGTGCAGATTGATGGACGCATAAAATGTAGCAAAACTTCAGCCTGCAAAAGGGCCAATTCATCTTCCAACATAGTCAAACAGGCTCGAAATAAACAGATGCTGTAAGTTGGATAGCGAAAATCAGTGCCAGCAGTCAAAGAGAACAGAGAGAGAAGGAAACGAGTGAAAACGCATATTAAACATACATGACACGTCGACTGAAGGTACAGCACCTAGCGGTAAGGAAAGGTCGCCTGAAAGAATTAGGACGTCAGACGGGAGCAGACGAGACTTACAAGGCGTTGCGAGACGTGATTTTGAGTGGATGGCCGGATACAAAAGACAAGCTTTCGAATGAATTAACCCCATTCTTCAACTTTCGGGATGAACACACGGTGTATGACGGTTTGTTGTTCAAAGGAAATAGCGTTTTTAAACCAACCATCGATACGCAAAGAGATGCTAGAACACGCTCATGGAGTCCACTTGGGTGCTAACTACAGCATTAAAAGAGCGCGCGAACTAAAGTTCTGGCCCCGGATGATAAGTCAAATTAGTATCAGACTGTACACATGCCGGTCTCACGAGGCTCGCCAAACCAGTGAACAAATGGTGCTGCGCGAGATTCCAGATCGACCATTTGATTTTTGCTGTGGGAATTTCTGCATTGACAAACAATCCAGTATAACAACCAGTCTAACGGAAAAACGGAAGCAGCGGTCAAACAAGTCAAGAAGCTGTTGTCGAAGGCTAGTACCACCCATGAGGATCCATACCTAAAGCGGTTGGAAATTCGAAACACGCCATCACTGGAGACAGGTCTCAGACCAGTTCAACGTCTGCACAGCAGAAGGACAAGAACGCTAATACCTGCGTCGGCTGTACTTTTGCACTCGGTCTTGCCGTCGCATGAGCACCTGTAAAGGAAGTTAAGGCTGGCTTGCCGAAAAACCTCCTCGTGGTGCCAGCTGGGTGGTTCGGGATTTTCCCGTTCCAGAAAATGGTTCGGCGGCAGTGTTCCAGGACGTGGTGGGTTTTCGCCTGGCAAGCGTTCTCCCTATAAAAAGCCACATATGTCCGTTTAACAATACTGTGACGTGGCGGACGTGACTCGCCCCTAAATAAAGTCACTGCCCCTTGCTTCATCCTGGCGAAGCATTGTATTCCAGCAACGTTATGCTGTAGTTCTTGGAAGTATTGGGCCCCTGCTTGACAAAGAAACAAACGAAAGGCGTATGGACTGAGCAATCAGTCACCGGCTCCCAATGGGCGCGATTCCCTGAATTCGCTCCGCTGCCTTGCGGACAGACTATTCAACCAAAGGCTCAGGGCGGTGTCCCTAAGTCAACACCCTACTTCGGCTTGGGCAACCGGGTAGTATCTCGCCCTCTGACGAAACCATGGACATTGTTGTGTTGTTTTCCTTTATTATTTCTGTACCTTCGTTTGAATCCCATGGTTTCTGATGGCATTATGTCTATTCGTAGACCTTCGTATATATATATATATATATATATATATATATATAAAGGAGGTTAAGGAAACGGATGGCCGGTCAGAAACGGTATTACTACCGCGGTACCCGGGAACTACCTGAGCTGTCAATAAATGAAAAGTGTGGGTTCAACCAATGATCGCTCCCGTTTATGGGGCCGTATACCGCTTGTCGGTAAACCTACGAATATATTTATTTAATACCGGGTGTCAACGAGCGATGGAAGAAAGGTGTGGTGACTGTGAAGGTTGGAGTAGTGTTCTGAAGTCGATAATGAAGGGAAAATAGTCGGAAGGAACCGAGTGCAGCTGAGGCGGCATCGGGAACGAGTAGGTGAACCTAAAGCAAGGCGCAGGACGATTTTCGGTAAGGTTACAACGGCAGGAGCAGCAAACACAACGCGGAGTGGAAGACTGTATGGAGCCTACAGAGAAAACGATGAGGCATATCACGAAAAAGAGAACGATGTGATGGGATTATGCAAGTAGAATAACGGTAGGGATTTACATGACGAAGCAAGCGGCTAGCCTGATGCAAGCGAACGAAGCAGATGACTGGACGCCTATGCATTTTCACCGATACGCTGACTGGTTCATATCTGACAGCGGTGGAGTGAGTTTGTTTGGCTGATTCAAAGGAAGAATCTTATGAACGCAGCAACGTCATTAGTTATGGGAGTGACCTAATTATTTGCATAGAAGCTTCTACAACCTAATCATGCTGTCATTTTCGCTGAGCGTGCTGCGTCGAATAGACCGTTTGTCCCTGAAGAACGGAGCTCTGCGACAAGAAACACACTGCAGCCAATGTGCCGCAATACAAAAAGATAAGATGTATGAAAAAGTGAGATACGAACGATTGCAGAGTACAATATATAAAACTACATTGCCCATCACGTGTGAGAACGTAATTGGAGGTGGAAGATAAGCGGAAGCGGGTGGGACAAAGAAACTCACAACCCAAACGCAATTAACGTTGGCCCTCTGCCACGTCATTAAGTGTATCCAAACAAACGTATTCATCGTTCTTCGGACCCCAGACAGGCTGTCGGGAGGCACCAATAGACGCCAAGTTCAAAGTGAGGGACTTTATTCTTCTTGACTTGGCCTCCTCTCCTCTTCTTCCATCCATAACCCCAGCGCGCAAATAACTCGAGGGAATTGGTGTGCTGACATGCGCAACACGTTGCTTAGCCATCGGAGCGTGGTGCGTGATATGACGGTGCTGAGCAAGGCATTTAAACTTACTGTACCAAATACGCGACGCCGAACATGCTGATTGCTCACGCGGTGCCCCCACCAGACATGAGCCAAGCTGCGAAGGCAACAATGGTCAAACGTAGTTCGCTTCTTTAAATTTGTCGATTTGATGGGCCAGGTTTAGCAACCATACAGAACGGATGAAAGGACGGCTGCATTGTAAACGCTGTGCTTCAGGGTGAATGCGATGTCGCGCAGGAGCCACAGGCAGCGGAGATTGACGAAAGAGCCTCGAAATTTTGCTACACTATTCCACTGGCGCTAATATAGTTGCTTAAGTGCTTACATTTCTGTACTAATTTTAACTGATTATCAAAAAGGGTCAGTGCAGGGGTGGGGCCCTGGCAACTTTGGAGGACTTTGCGTTTCGAGGGTACAAAGCACAGCCCAAGACGGTTAACAACCTGCGCTACTCTGTTCAGCGCAGCTTAGTACGGTTGGGAGCTATCGTAGCTGAGGGAAATGTCGTCGGTATAGTCCGACTCCAGTAATCGATCACATGGAAGCAGCTCTACACCTTCTAGGTCGTGTCCCGCGAACGCTGTTTTCATGACTTCATCAATAGCGAAGTTAGAGAGGAAAGGTGACAGCGGGTAACCTTGTCTTACTTCGCTTGAGGTATTGTAGAGAGGTAACAGTTTGCCGTAAACCATCACTTTGTCCGAACTATGCGTGTACAGTGCTCTAATAATGTTTACGTATTTCCTGAACAGTCTCAAAGGGCACATCGTTCAAGCAATCGAATCGAAGGCACCTTTGAGGTTTAGAAACACGACTACGTTGGGTCGCCAATAAATATGGCAGAGCTCCAACAGTTGACGTAATGTGAGGATGTGATCAATACAGCCGCAACTTTAACGAAACCCTGCAGCTCATCGGAAAGCTGGTTTTCACGGGTGCCAGTCAGTTTGTTGAGGACGACTGTTGCAACTAAGTTAGAGGCAATTGAGATCAGGCTGACTCCTTTATGACTGGCGCATTCCTAACGCCAGCCTCCCTTGAGAAGTGGGACTATGACTCAGCGGCTCCAGTCTGTTGGGGTCGTTTTCTGCTCCACAGATTCACTAATATGTTGTGAAAATCCTCTGTGAGCACATATCCCCAGAATTTGAGAAGGGCTGGAGTAAGTCTATCTGCTCCTGCGGCCTTATTCAATTTCAACAGTCTGATCTCACGATGGACTTCTGCGTGGGAGGGCGGATCAAATGATGCGGCTCAGGGAGAAGGGCGATCAATGGCCGACAGAGAAGTTGGCAACTCTGAGTGACTAAACTGCTTCTTAAAGTCTTCGACCCAACGCTCCAAGCGTTTTGACAAACTGTGGATCAGCTGCCCACTCTCGTCGCGTATGGTTTCGCAAACATCAGGTCTCCTGCTGCCCGTTTGCCATATCAGACAGAATAAGTTAAGTTGGTTTCCAAGGGCAGCTGCTGTCGCCAACTCCGATGACGCAATATGAGACCACCAGGCTAGCACGGAGTTTTGCCATGAGATCTTCGCGAATCTCATTGTGTTCGCTTATGGCGGGAACACGTCGACGAGTATCGAGAAGTTTTAGAGACTGCGTAGGGATCGAATATCCAGGTAGGCAATTTGATTAGCCACATGAAGACATGCCTGTTGCTTATAACGTCTGCCATATATACGATCAGTGATATTAAACTGTGTTCAGTGAGCGCTTGCTCAACTGCTAAGCATTCAAGACATCTAGCTTCGCCAATTGACAAGTATCTATGCGCTCACAGCACCGTTGCGGACATCCGCCGAAACGCACCCGCTAGTTGGCGCATACAATTGCGTGGTCGGAGTCCATGCTGATGCTGCAAATCGAGCGACAGTTTTGAACACATCCGCTCTAACGGTAACTGATCGCGAGGTGGTCAATTTGCGTCGTAACACCTCGTAATAACGGGCGGCGCCTATCACACGTCCTCCACTACAAAGACAGCAAAAGTTGTTCCAATGTCAACTATGTGGCAGACGTGGATGACTTGGCTAGCTTAGCTCGGAGCAGTCAGAACTATGGCTGGGCGCGGATGGGCGGTAGAATAACCGTGGAAGAAGTGCTTCTTATATAGAGAGATTTAAGAGGAGGGATTCAAGAGACGGAGGGTTATAAGGTGGTAAGTGGCTTCGACAAGACGCCAATGCCGGCTTGCTTTGGTTATGAGATACCCATCTTAATGAACATGTTATGCAGTTGCAAGTGGCGTTATTTAGAACGCCAGAGAAGGTTAGACCTAGGGACTCGATAATAACAGCACAAACCAGTGAGATCACATACCGTGAAGAGAAAGAATATACATCTGCTAGTTAAACAAAGTATTCTCTACCAACCAGTCGCTGAACGTAGTCATGGGTACATTAGCATCACTACGTGCGGTGAGGTTTTCCGTGTGGACCAATATTTCGAAGACACGTCAAGATAACATGGGTATTCGTAACATATGGTGGAGGGCGGTTCAACATGGCACGGCGTCACGGAAGGTCAGGAGAGGGCATGCGGAAAGAAGAGTCGGTGGGTCGCATTGGCATGATGATGAACAAAGCACAACTCTGAAAGCTCGGGGTAGAATTGCACATGAGCTCTGATTCTGTTATTGAGCAGTGTGATGACGTAAGGTGCAAAAGCAACGGGTCTAAATCTTTGAATTCATCTAATTAAAGGTGCGAGCAGTGAGGTATGAAACTAAAAGAAGGCAATGAATGGTCCAGTAACTATGAAAAAAGCCGAATAGGAAGCGTACAGATTGCCTGATTTCGTCAACATACCGGAAGAAGGAACACAGTAGTGTTAGAATAGAAGCGGAGTGGGAGTTTGGTAAAAAAATCCGGCTGTTTTAGCATTTGGATCCAAAATTTTTGTGACAAACGTTAACAATAGCCCGAAACTTTCAAACCGAGGGCAAATGATGAAAGGTGCACGCAAGATGCACACCGGTCAACTAATATGGATTCTACACAGAAAATAAGGCGAAATACCCAAGCGATTAGTCCAGTCAGAGCCGAAGAACTCGCTTAGCTGGACTAAAGCAATGTTTATCATCTCTCCTACTACCTTGTGGGTAAGGCCATTGAGCAAGAGGCATGGCACTTTAAACGGAATGGGCATCCAGAGTATCATCTGCCCTCTTGACCCTGTCGGCAATACTCCCACTTCTTCTTCATGTTTTTCACTCCCTTCTCGACTCGCTTCTTCCCCGTCTATTGAGCATGAAAATGCCGCTGACCTTGCAGCTGCTGTCATCGATACTTGTAACTCGTCCATCAAACCGCGAGTTTCATTTCACATCGATTATTTTAACGTCCACACTTTGGGTCAGATCAGTCAACATGCAGCACTGACTCGCACTCCTCGCTCTCTTGGTATTAATGTGTGCTGTCTCCGAACACGCATACAAGATAACAGTGTTGTGACGAATTTCCGACTCACTGGTTCTGAATCTGATGACGATGGCTACACTTCGCGTCTCTGGCGATGCTGTCAATGACTCAAGGTATTTACGGTGTTGGTACCGCCCTCAACAAACATGTGGAAGGCAATCTAATCGGATGGATGGCGGTAAAATAATAAATAAGTAATAATGTGTCAGCTGTACGCCGTAACGGCATTTCGCTGCCGTGCGATCAACTACCAGTCGCATGCGGGCTGAGTATACCGCGGAGATGCCCACTCCTAAGAAGATTCGAACCCGGGCCGCAAGATCACGAGACAAGCTCGTTACCTCTAAGCTACGGGCCGGTAAACAGGCGCATGTGTGCTGTTAGACTTCAAACCTCTATTGGAGATACTAAGCACCATCTGAAGGCAAGGTGTCTTTTCGTCGTCTTCGTTTGCGCTCATAATGACTGCAGTTCGGAGGGTATCAGAGGCGGTTTCTATCATGAACTCTAACTTCTTCGCATGGCGGAAATACTAATATCATGATTGTTGATGGTGACTATAATGCTAAAGTGAGTCGTCTTTCAGACTCTGAACAACACGTGGGTGGCCGCTTCAGCGTCGATGCATGTCGAGGAGACAATAATGATGGATTCCTGCAACTGTCGGTCGACCAAAATGGGTTTACTAGCAGCACTACTTTCTAGCACAAACGCTCACATCACGTTACCTGGCGCCCACTAAATTCCTCGATGATTTGGACCCAAATTGGCTATACCGCCAACAACTATAGATGGCACACATCAGTCGAAATTTGTTGGTCAATTTGGAGCGCGTAGCTGGATTCAGACCATGACCTAGTATGCACACGCTTGGCGTTCATTCTTCTCGCTTCAAAGAAGCACCTAACTTTCAACATTCTTGCCTGTAGCTTGAACTCCCAATCTGCAATTCAACATCTTGATGAACTGGTCCACTAGTTGTCAGTGATAAATGTGATTGGTGAGCCGAAGGTTGACTGCAGTCGTTTCAAGTGTGCCATAAAGAAAGGTTTTGAAGCATGCTGTAAACCCAACTTGAGACGACCTAACTGTGAATGGATCTCTGAGGCTTCGGTCAAACTGATCGAAGCATGGAAACAGATGCCAATAGGTAGTGAATTTCAGCATGTCGGCAACGCCCTGAAAAGGCGTCTGACAGAGTCTTCGAATTGACCGTGAACGTTGGTGAGTGGTAAGGGCCCATGAGGTGCAGAAGGTCGGTACTATTGGGAATAACCGAGTGCCAATCCAGAACACAGGTCCGAAAAAGCCATCAGTTAGTGAGATAATAGCTGAGCAAGATGGACGGTTGGTTCATTTTCAGCATCATCGACTAGTCCGTTGAGTTGAACATTTTGGAGAGCAGACCTACCGCGACAGTGCTACTTGCTGAAACACTTGAGCCTAGGTGGAAAGTTGATGTCACACCTATCACATTGGAAGAGATTCGGCATAAGTTCACTGTGTGGAAATGAAACAAAGCTCAAGGACCCGACGAACTTCCACCATCTTTGCTGAAAAATGGAGGTAACACTCTGTTGATGGGACTGACTTCTCTGTTCAGACATTAGTTGGAACACTGAAGATGTGCCTTCAGACTGGCGACTGTCAACTGTCGTGTCCCTCTTCAAGAAGAGTCATCGTACATTGTGAGAAAATCATTGAGGTGTTAGGCTTGTATCCGTTACATCCAAACTTTTCTCAGGTATCATCGCCCGACGAATTATTAGTCCCCGTGAGAACCGAATCACTGAAAGCCTGGTTAACTTCCGCCCTGGTCGTGATTGTATGGACCACATATTTACTTTACGCCAAGTGTTAGAGCAGTGACACATACAGAGGACTGAGTATGGTGGTTTTCCTTGACATGGAAGCCGTCTTCGACTGTTGACCGCTCCAGCTTGTGACACTGCCTATCCATGAAGGGCGTGCCAGCTAACTACTTTTCATTATGCAGTCCTTCTACCGTGAATCCCGAAGCCGTGTAAAAATATAAGGGAAACTGTCACCAGAGTTCCCCACGACAAGTGGGTTCCTCAAGATTGCCCAAATCTCCTTTTCTCTTCAACTTTGTGAGCGAAATGATCTTGAGTGGCTTTATTCTTTCACACTTTACTGGAGCGAAAATTCTGCCAGGCCACCGGCTGATAAACCTGAAATATGCGGATGACAGCTCTCCTTGGGTCGGATGCAGTGTCTATGCGAGCACCACTGAATAGATTGACTCGCAGTGCTGCACGCTTCCGTATGGTGCTTTGTGCCTTCAAAGTGTAAGGTACTGTTGCAGGACTGGACCGATATGCCACCGATTTTAGTTATCAGTGAACAGCCAATGGAACTGGTGGATCAATTAACTTACCTTGCTCGTTGTATCACCTCTGCGGTCAAATCGCTGAGCAAGTTACTTCGCGTATCAACAAGCCTTATGTTGTTTTGTAGGGGTTCTACTAGCTACGGTGATGGCTGGATATCAGTCTGTCAGTGAAAGGTGTGGTTTAAAACGCCGCAATAGGGCCTGTGTTACTGTATGGATCAGAGACATGGGCAGTTCACAATGAAGACAGTAACCGCTTGGCAGTGTTTGATCACCGTTGCTTGCGGGGCATTGTTCTCATTTGGAGGGTTGAGCAATGCTGAAGTCTGTCAGTTGATTTTTGACAGGAAGTCCTTTGGTGCTTCACCTTTGTGCTTATTGAATCTCAACCGTCTGCGTTTTAACTTGATCATGTCCTTCGTATGTCCGTCGACCGGCATCCTCGGCGTGTATTATGCGTTATGGCTGCGCCAAGTTAGGCGAAAGTTTGAGGTGTCCAGTCAATGATGAGGAATAGGGGTATGAAGAAATTGACTGAAAGACTTGGTCAAACTGGTGTGTGCCGCGTTCGTGGATGGGAACCCCTGGATGGTCCAAAACAATGGTTGGAGACTCTGTCAGAGATGGCGCATTCGCGCAGTCAGTGATATTCTTGCGTCTGGCTGTTCGTTTTTATTCCACCCTTGTAAGTTTAAAGCACCTCCTTGGTTCCATTCTCTTTTCGCTCCATTTGCATCCAACCTTTCTTGTCGTTATTATTCTGGCGATGTGAGTTGTTGCAACTAGATCCATCGCACTTCGGTGTCCAGATAATCGTTGTTTAACTGAAGCAAACACTCAGAAAATACAGAGAATAGTTGTGTCGTTCACTCGCGACGGGGTAAAAGCGAGATATGAAAACTGGGACCGAAGTTTTAAAATCATAAAGTGCGATACAACGCATCTCGGGTTGTCTAGGCCACTTTACGGCGGAAAAGTAACTTAGCGATTGATGACGTCAGCAGAGCTGGTGAAATTGACATCACATGATGAGGTACCGAATACAAAAGGGAGCAGTGGCACGTGAGCGCTACTGTTCACTTGTAATGAGAGCCTACAAAAGTACTTCAGACAAGTATCCGCACGATGAGTGGCTCAGATGAATAACTATCCGAAGCACCCTCCCCTTAAACAAGACTTGCCTGCGTAAGATGTGGAAAAGGCTTGAAACCAAGGGTTTTATGCACCGGTTTAGAAGAAACTGAAAACTGACGCAGTGCAATGACTTGCGTACTGCTATGATCCCGTGATTAGCAGCGTTTCACTATCAAGTCCTATTCGAGCAGCTCATACCAGACAGATTAATAGTTAGGGGTCAGACAAGCGCGGCATCATCTTCATCCCGAACCATCATTATCCTCAACAGCATTATACCAGCCACTTAGACTGATGCTTCGCTACTGTACAACAACAGTGACCCACAGAACGAGGAATAGCACTAGAGAGATAAGAGATAAATAATGATAATAATAATAATGAATCTCTCTTCTCTCCCTAGTGCTATTCCTCGTTCTGTGGGTCACTGTGGTTGTACAGTAGCGAAGCATCAGTCTAAGTGGCTGATATAATGCTGTTGAGGATAATGATGGTTCGGGATGAAGATGATGATGAGAGAAGAGAGAACTAACCTTAAATCCCAATGCCCTAAACAAACATTCAGGGTCAAGGTGTCTACATCTTGTGTTAACAACATATTATCACAAACAGTTGGCTATCGTGCAAAGGCGACATCGGCGAGTCAGCTTCCCTGTGGCTTTCACTTCCCTTCGTCATAAGCAGCCATTACTCCACAGATAACTTAGTACGAAACACACTTTATACAGACAGTCCGAATAGGAGACGGCAGTAGACGCGCCACTGGTGCCGACTGCCAACCATGTCTTGTCAAGTCTCCAGCCAAGCACACAAGGTAGGTCACCTTGACTCCAGGCTGGAAGGCGAGATGGACCAACAGCACGAGGTTTTGTAGACAGTGATTTCACTTCCCTCTGCCATTAACTTTTGCCCACGTCGAGCCTTGCGCCACCGTACGTCTGGCAAACAAAACAACGTCCTCCCCGGTAAACGGTGA